AAAAAAAAAAAAAAAAAAAATCCTCCTCCGCATCTTGGAAGGTCAGCCCCAGGGCCCGGTGCTGGGTCCAGATCCCCAGTCCCATCCAAGTGGGCATGGAGGGCTAGCACGGCGGGGTGCTTCCTGGGCCAGCCGCTTTGCCAAAGACTTACAGTGCTGGGTTTCAGCAATCCTGGGGCACAGGGGTCGTTTTCATTACTGCCGTTGACAAATGAGGAAACCGAGGCCAAAAGCCAACTCAGGGACAAAGCCAGAGGCCAGGAGTCAGATTCAAACTCACATGTACAGGACGTCAAGGCTCATGGCTTTTGACAGAAACGGTCTGCTGCCTGCTACGTCACTGACTTAATTCACCTGAATCCCAGTGCATTGTTTACTGATCTGTCTGCTTCAACTAAATTGTAAGTGACCCGAGCAGAAGTCGGGTTATTTATCCCCGTGTCCCCCCAGTGCTTAGCACTGTGCCTTACACGTGGCAGGTGCTTCATAAATATTCCGAGTCTATTTTCCACCCAGCAGCCAGAGTAATCCTTCTAGATATAAATCAGTTGTCGCTCTCCAGCTCTCAATCCCTCAGTGGCTTCCCATCACGAATAGAGTAAGTTCCAAAGGTCTTACCATGCCCTTACGAGCCGGACCTTGGCCATCTCTCTGTGCCCCTTGCTCACGTGGCTCCGGCCCCTATCGGCACTCTCGCTGGTTCTCCAGCGAGCACGCCCCCTACTTGGGGCCTTTTGTTTGGTCTTTGCTCTTCCCCAGGGCCTCACGTGGCCGGCTCCCTCTCTGTCCTCAGACCTCTACTCATGCGTTCCCTTCTCGGAGACCCTTCCTGACCTTCCTTGTTAAAAGAGCCAGCCCCACTCCCTATCCTCACTCTTTTCTTCCTTCTTCTTAATAGCACTTATTACTACCAGCTCTTTATGTATTTGTTTTCTGATTAGCATGTGAGCTCCGTGACAGCCGGGCCTTGGTCTTGAGTTATGCATCCCTGGAAAAGAGCCTGGTGCACGGCGGCACTCAGTAAATTAAAGGGATGAATGAGTTAAGCAAATGCTCCTTCACCTTCTCCATTTTGGAGGTAAACCCGTTAACGACATCAATCATTTGGCTGGTGGATTGTTCACCGATAAGCGTATTGACCACCCCACGGTGCCACGCTGAGCTCTGCGGATACAGCTGAGCAGAGTCTTGGTCTAAAAGACGAGGGCTCCATCCGTCTCCTCGCTGGTTTTCCCGGGAGCCACTCACTCACAGTCTAGGCCCCAGGGTTCGCCACCTCTCCACCTCACCCGGCTTTGCACAGGACTGCGAGCACGGGTCTGCACATGCGCACGGTGGCTCTGGGCCCCAGCAGGTGGCAGG